CCAGGAGCCCTCCCTGTACACTGTGAAGGCCCTGCTCATCCTGGACAGCCTCGGGCAGCGCCTCCTGGCCAAGGTGAAGCCCCCCCCAACCCCCTGCCTCAGTTTCCCCAGGGGGGGCTGCCCAGCTCTCCCAGCCCCCCCAGCTCAGACCCCCTGCCAGGCTGTGGGGTCTTGGGGGGGGCATCCTGGGAGTGACCTTTGGAGGGTCCCTGCAGGGGCCTTGAGGGGTCCCAGTGGGGGCTTTGGGGGGGTCTCAGCACCCCCACGCCCCCCCCCAGGACCCCTGCTGCCCACCCTGCCAGTGTTGACCCCCCCCCTGTCCCCACAGTACTACGATGGCACCTTCCCCACGGCCAAGGAGCAGGCGGCCTTTGAGAAAAGCATCTTCAACAAGACCCACCGGGCAGGCGGTGAGGGGGGTCCTTCTTGGGAGCTTCTGCAATTGTTGGGGGACACACACACACACACAGAGTCCCAAGAGGTTTAATCCTGGGGTGTCACTGTGCTCGGAGCAGTGTGTCCCCCCCCACAGTCCTAGGGGACACCAACACCCTCCCGTGTCCCCAGGGGAGATCGCCTGTCTGGAGGGACTCACCATCGTCTACAGGAGCAGCATCGACCTCTTCTTCTACGTGGTGGGGGGCTGCCAGGAGAACGAGGTAGGATGGGGCGGGGGGGCAGCCCAGGACCCCCCCACGGCCCCACTGACACCCCTTTTTTCCCCACAGCTGATGCTGTCAGCCGTGCTCACCTGCCTCCTCGACACCCTCAGCCACCTCCTGCGGTGAGTCCCCAAGTCCCTCTGCCCCAAGGGTGGGGAAACTGAGGCAGGGCAGGGGGCAGCAGCTCACTGTGAGCTGGGGTGAAACCCCTGCTGTCCCCTAACACCCCGGGTGGGCTCCAGGGGGACGGTGGGGGTCCAGGTCCCCCCCCGGCCATGACCTTGACTGGGTCCAGTGACATGGCCACCCACTTGCAGGAAAGAGGTGGAGAAGCGCCTGCTGCTGGACAACATGGAGGGGACATTCCTGGTGGTGGATGAGATCGTGGACAGAGGGTGAGCTCTGTTGGGGGACAGAGTTGGGGGGGGACCCCAAGTCGCAGGGACAGGGGGTGGCATTGTCCCCCTGGGTGGTGAGAAGGGGCTGGCCCCATCTCTGGCACCCTGGTTTGCCACCGTTGCAGCAGCTCTTCCTCAAAGCCTTCATCAGGGCACCCACGGGGAGGGAAACTGAGGCACGGGGCGGAGGGTGGAGATGCCCACTGGGGTGCAGCTGGGATCGGGGGGATCCCACCGGGATGGTGCCAGCACCGTGCTGCTCCGCAGGGTGATCCTGGAGAGTGACCCCCAGCAAGTCATCCAGCGCCTCAGCATGCGGGTGAGTGGGGCCATCCCACCCCGTGGCCTTCCTCCACCCTCTTCTGCTTCCCCCCTGCCCTCCTCCTCACCCTCTCTCCCCTCTCCAGGCCCCGGAGCCGGCACCGTACGGCTTCGTCCTCTTTGATTACCTGGCAGGTGGCTCGGAGCAGAGGGACAGGAGGGACGCTGGTGGCCAGGAATAGGCAGAGCCGAGGAGGTGCAAACCCTTCCCTGGGCTGGGGGGCAGGGATTGGGGCTGGGGGCTGGCCAGAACAGGCAGGGATTGGGGCTGGGGTCTGGCCAGGATAGGCAGGGATTGGGGTTGGGGTCCACTCAGGACGGGCAGGGATTGGGGTCGGGGTCCACCCAGGATGGACAGGGATTGGGGCTGGGGTCCAGCCGTTACCAGAAACCTCCCAACTGCAGCAGCCTCAGGGGTGAAGGGCACCGAGGGGGTGCTCCCCACATTGGGGCACCCAGTTCCCCCCCCTTCCTAAAGCTGCCAGTCCCCTTTCCTCCCCCAGGGTGACGATAACCCCCTGTGTCCGAGCGGAGCATGTCCCATGTAAGTGCTTCATTACCTCACTAACGAGGGGGTGGGCTGCCAGGTTCTACCCATCAGGATGGAGATGGGACACACCTGGGTCCTGCTCCCTTTGTCACCCCAGCACGGGGTCCCGTGTGTCCCCCCACCCCGGGTGTCTGGCTTTAAAGGGCACCCCAAGGTCAGCCTGACCCCATCCCTGGGGTCTCACACAGGTCCTGCAGCCACCAAGGAGAACATCAAACCAGCCCTGATGGTATCAACAGCACCGGGGTCTCCCCTCAGAGGGACCAGCTGGAAAAGGGGGGACCCCAGCACCGGGAGACACCGGGACACACAGACCTTCCCCTGCATCCCCCGGCTCCAGCCCCAGCCCGGATCCCCCACACGGCCCCTCCGCCTCCAGAAGCCCTTCACCAAGGTCTCGTATCCGCCCCCAGCATTAATAATATCGAGGGGAAAATTAAGCACTAATGAAGGAGGATTGATTCCCCGCTCCCACTCGCTCCTGGCTGGAGCCGCCTGCAAATAAAGTTTTTCTCCCCAGTTTGGGTTCCTTCTCTCCATCAGCCACCTCGGGTGGGGGGTCCCCTTGGGCACATCGCCCATCGAGGGTGGGCTCTGGGGGCTCAGCCGGGGCCACCCCTGAGTTCTGCTCTTTGACGTGTTTCCTTTGGAGGCAACGGTGACATTTTTTGGGTTTTTCTGTCAAATCGGTGACGTTTTTGGGTTTTTCTGTCAAATCCCACTCTCAATTTCAAGCCGCCGGGGATCAACGGGGTCTGTCACAGGGTGGTCTGGGGGCGGTGGGAAGCTGCGGGACCCCACTGTGGTGATGTGGGTCTGGTTAAAGAGGGGACCCCCCCCACCTTGGCCATGGGGGCAGCACCCAAACGCTGCCCACCTGGGGGTCCTGTGTGTGGGGCAGCCGTGGTGCTTGCACCCCCAGCTGAGCACGGTCTGCTCGGCCACGGGGACGCTGCACCAGCCGAGGGAATCCCCTCCACTTCGGACTCACCCCCTTCCGCCCTGGGGACCCTCCCCAGCCTGGGGACCCCCCCGTTGTACCACGGAACCCGCACCGCCTCTTGCGCGACGCTCCCTAACGCCGCGGCCGCAGCGCGGCTCTTGCTCGCCGCTCCCTGGCGGGGCGCCCGGCCCACTTTGCATAGCTCCGCCCCGCTCCGCGGCCCGCCCCTTATATGGTACGTGGCCACGCCCCTGTACACCGTATCCCCGCCCCTCCGCTGATGCCCCGCCCCTTCTCGAGTCGTCCATTCACTGTCCTGCAGCGCCACCTGCCGGCGGCCGCGGGGAGAGGCCGGGACCCCCCACCGCCCTGAAAACTGTCC